AATTCTCCTATAGGCTAATTAATTTCACTTTAAGCTAAGGAAGCAACCAGAAGGTAAACCAATTATTTAGAGTTTTTTAAACGATTCTGTATTTTTTTTTTCTTTGGAAGGCGATAGTTGAAATATTAATTAGTCGAAACGTCGAGAGAGGTAAATACTTTTATTTACCATAAGTTTTCGTATTATTACCCGGTTAACAATATAAATAATATGTATTCAACAAGAAAGATTAGTTAAAAATAAATAATTATACTATAGTTGAAAAAATTTGTTTAATGATAATAATAATATGAACATCAAGAAATTAATAAAAATTTTAATAATTTCTTGATATTCATATTAACTGTATCTATTGTTTTACATCAAACGAGGCCAATAGGACTTTGTCCTGAAAATTCTTTTCACAGACCTTTTGCTATAAGAAGATAATAAACTCCTCTACGTTATCAACAAAATATGCAGTGCCTTAATCAAAATGTGTTGTTGCTGAAATGTTTTGTTCAGTTCAGTTGATCACCCTATGTTTCGATTGAAATGTTGTTGATAAAGTTAAATTTGGTATACCAAAAATAGTTTCCGTAATTAGTGGTTTTATAATTATTTACCATACCATGAACAAAGCACTTTCTCATTATACGACTATGAAAATACAAGTACGATTTTGTATGGTTTGAACATTTTATTGATTAATATTATATACGTTTCACGTTCGCTGTGTTTTGAATATCCCTGCTGTAAGCAAATATATAAAATATTCCTCTCCAGCCTTACGATTTTCCTTTTTACACTATTTTCTCCATTTTATAAACCTTATATTGACAGAAGCAGTAAAAGTAAAAATCAGTGCCGATTCCGCCTGAGCGCGCAAAAAACTAATAACGTTTGATTGAAGCGCTACCAGGTAATGTTTTGTTTTGGATTATTATTTTTCAGTACAGTTAGTTACAAGTAAGCTTTGAATAAATTTGTTTCTCCGTTTAACGAGGTGGTCCGTGATTGCTGTCTGAATAGTCGCCGGTTTTATTCCCGCGCAGTACAAGCATTTATATTTATGACTTTGATTGATGAGTTTTTATATATTTAAAGAAAAATGTCGCCCAGTTTTTTCTATCCGTAGAACAATTATCTGATTAATGTCTGGGACTACATGGCGTTGTGTGACTAGTGATATTTATGTATAAACTAGGAGAAAATGGTTGGCAAAATATAAGATGTACTAAAATAATATTGTGAGGATTGTTGGCCAATTAGTAGATAACAATTTATTTGATCAGTATCCCAAAATATTTTACTATTAACTACATTAAATGTAAAGTGCCATATTTAAAAATGTTAAACTTTATTTTGAATGCTGTCTTGATTGAAGGTCAGTGTCCTTACGTCCTAAGAATAATGCACTTATGTTTGATTTCTGTTATAGTTGACTCCTGTCTGCCCACACCCAATTAAAGCCTACTCAAAACAAATATACTCGTTCACGTTCGGAATTTGCGTCATCCAGAATCATACTCGTTTCGATTGTCAATTTGTCAAAATCAAAATTATTATGATAATTGTGGCCACTCTTTAAGCTTTAATTTGGTTGGTCCTATATAGAAAATGTGTACTAGTAAAATATGACCTTCCTTCATACCTTTTGACATGCATAGTTATAGGAAAGAACGAAAACAATGAAATTAGAAATTCCTAACCTGCACCTACACCGATGAAGAAGAAAAGGCTGGGGCTAATTTCTGACCACTTAGACCTACATGGCAAAAATGTATATGGATTACAGTAGTAAGAACTGTCCATGTCGTACAGGAAAGCGAATGGAATATTTGGGATCAGATCTGATTTACATCATTAATAACAGTTTATGTGTGTCTATTGTCTATGTACTCCACCAGGTTTTCATCCTGCACTGGTATTTCCTTAGCACTTTTTAATGTACAAACATGCCTCTGGCGGGAGAGCATCATCCATGTTTGTACCTATATTAAAAAAAAATTACGTTGGGGGGTGGTACACGTAGCTCGATCTAAATCTCTTATCTACAGCCAGATTTATCGATATGATTGACAACATGTCTTTGTTGTAGTCTACCAATATCCATCCATTTCAGCACTGGCTCAGTGAAGTGCAGAGCTTTTAGTCAGTCGGTCAAAATGAATCATACCTACAGTGACGTGGCTTGGTTGCTGTAGTAGGTACAAGCGTGACTGAATTGAGCTCAGTTTAGTGGGCTCGCTCTCTTCGCTCGAACGGAACGCACGCATCGCGTATGCGGTGATGTTCGTTCTTTTACAAGTGGTCTACCTAGCATTTGACAAACTTCACTCATCAAATTAAGCACATTCATAGAAAAAATAATACAATCTATTGAATAAAATCTTTATTTTTTTTTGGTTATAATTTTGTTGTGATTATAGTTGTTCATAGTGACAATATTTATGTTCTGGCCTAAGGTGCACATCCATCACCCATAGAATAAGGCACAAGGGCAATTTAAGCTCTTTGAAGGGCGTTTTCTCTCCTTGGTTAGATCGACGTCTCGACCTCTCGACTAACTTGTAATTTTAAGGTGAAGCGGGACACGAGGCAGGCGACGCCTGTACCAGACGAAGTAGGCGGTGTCGGGCGACCGCCCTCCGCGGGCCCCGGGCGAATGCTGTGGAAAACGCATGGGCGCGGGGCGCCGTCGCACGGATCCAGTAACAAATATACTTCACGAACTGCTATCGCTTTTAGTGATTCGACGTAATCGTTAGTCTATTGTCGATAAATAGATATCTTGTTTAATTAATAAAATGTTGGTCGGTTATCATAATGACGATAGGTATCTTACTTATTGGTCCTGTGATGAGAGTTAGTTTTATTTTGGTCACTGTTTTTAGGAAGGTTTTGTTAGGAATGGTTTGATTTTTTTTGTATAGTGCAGTAAGTATAGATATTAGTTAGTACTAGATATAGATATTAGTTAGTACTAGATATGGGTCTCACTGGATAGTATTTATTGATTGCCTTTCTAATGTCTCGAAATTACACGATATTAACATGTTTTATCGTAATAAAGTAAAGCGAAATCAACGTACATCTAATTCTCGTCCGAGCATAGAAGCTGCATACAGCAATAGTTCAGTTGTATGTTTATTATACACTTGTTTTATCTGATTGGAATTGCAATCAGGCTTTCAGCCTACCTGATACACGACTACTTCAAACAAAACACTATCGCTAAGTTTCCTACGAATCTATTTAATTAATTAATAAGTTACTTTTAAATTTTTTAGTTACAAATTCAATATGATTTGCCATGAGCTTGCACTTGTACTTGTAGAAGAGTGTCCTTCTGAATAGACCTAATAAATTTGTACGTCTATATTATGTAGTACGATAACAGATAATGTTTAACAATATTCCCACAAGGTCAAGAAGAAATCGGATTGAATAGTTATACAAAAATTTTTAAAGTGTCTTGACACACGTTCGACGTTGAATATGTGGTTAACTGTTCTGTATACTGTATCTGGCTTCACAATTCGTATCAGTAACCTCCGGGTTTGTATGTCCTTGTCGGAGACAATTTCAGATTATTACCAAAAAGAGAAACCTAAACCTTTTTTGAAATGATAAGAAACAATTTCAAAAAGGTTTTTTTGCTATTTCAATCTTAATTTAGTGCATCAAGTATATAAGCGCCTTTATACAGAATATAATAATAAACTTATAACAATAAAAACGCAAAGAATGAATGATTACGAGCCCAAAAATATATAGGCCAAAGTCTTGACCGTCATAAGCACTTTAAATTCTGGTTTTTGCGAACGAATGATCCGCTATGATGAGCATGGGGGTTCAGGCTGATAACACCAGTACATTGACGTCTTACATATAGAAGGATATATAATCCTTAGTTAATATCTCTACGTTCCTATCTGTATATGCCACAGGATAGCGAATATCATATCCTGTATTTCATTGCTACTTTACTGTCTTTGATAGTCTCTCTCTCTCTCTCTCTCTCTCTTTAGAGATCTCACATTTTACAATATTTTATTTATTACAATTAATACACAAATAAATGCGCACATGTGTATATTTTATTATAATACATAAATATTTTATTTATTACAATTAATACACAAATAAATGGGATGCGTTTTTGTCCGTAATTCATGGGGATGACTAATTCTACAGAATACAGATTTTCCCCTTAATCTTTCTCCTATCCTAAATAGAAATGCTGAAATCCCGTATTGTGACCGGAGTAATAAGTGGGCTATATATTCACTTATTTCATCAATTTTCGTATGTAATCTGCTTTTTATATGACTTAATAATTTGATAGTGGAATTAAGGATTATTCTTAATTTTATTTTACAATTAATCCGCAGGAAGTACATTGACTTAATTCAATGTTGAATTCTAATATTATTATTATGTATAATCTAATATTATCTAATATGTTGCATTCACCACATCATTACTTCACACTCCTCTTGCTGTACCATTTTATGTTCGTGAAGAATATAATATATTTAATATTTTATATTACTTTTGACAAATATTCAAGAAATTGGATATTGGTTAAATATTAACTACGTATTGTGTGTATTTTTTTATATTTAGTATATTATTTATCTATATAAATATGTATTATCGTGTTTCATTATACATATGTATCATTTGATTTATACGATGAATGTGGCTTTTTAATTATACAGTAATACTACCCATCCTTGCTGTTTTTATTTGTAACAATATTATATATTAAATTACAAGCAATAAAGATATAAGTTGCTTATAATTCCTCACTGGCATATTAACGAACATTGCCGGGACGACACTCGATAAAGCATAAAATCGATACTAGCGCTTCACTAAGGTGTGGTGAGCTCTCCCCGCGGGCCTCGACTTGAGCCACGCCCAGCGCGCGCATTCTCTAAAAAAATCCACATGAAATGGTTGCAAGGAGAATCGTGTCGAGTCGGCGGCACGTCGCGTCGTTCGCCTCTCTTCGCTCGGTCACGCACGCACGTCACATCGTTTCAGTACGGCAGCTCAGTTGAGTAGTGATCTCGATACCCGGCGAACCGTACGCACGGCGCACACGTGCCACTCGCGCCCAGCCATCCCTTCTCCGTATCCCAATATCCGTTCCGTATTCGAGCGATTTGCTACTTGCTTGGTGTCGCCGTCGCATCATCTGAAGACACCCCGCCAGTGCGAGTTACATTAGTCGCAGTTCCCATCGATGTCTTGCCCACTTATACGTTTCCTATCGTATTATATAACACAAAATAAACACTACATCCAACGCTACCACGTGTGCGCCCCGGCTGGCATATAACCAATTCATTTCCATCAAGCCTCCAAACGTACACGCTCCGACATTCGAGGAATTTGAGTAATAATCGTTATGAAACAAAATAATTAACGTGGTGTTGAGCAGTAAAACACATTCCAGTTTAACATCGTCAGTATTGTAGTTATCTGTAAAAGTGTCGTTCAAAATTTTATATAGTGAAATGGCTAATTCCGTGGAGCAGCAATTTAGCGAACTTAACCTGTCACCGGAGCACCATGAACAAATATTTGAACCGGAGGATCATCCAGACCAAAGGTAATAATGTGTTTATTACCATTTACCTACTATTTTAGTTTATTTTACTTACAACTTCTGTACCAAATTACCTACCCTTTTTAAAAATTATTGGAAGCTAATTTATACATTTGCAACTAAACTAATAAATTATGTATAATTAATAAATTACTGTAGCTAAGTATAGATATTAATTATATTTTATATTTATTTATTACCGGTTAATGACCCGGGAACTTTTTGTTAAATCGTCCACTAAACGATTGCCTGTCTATTGTTTAGAATACTGGCTATAATTTAATTTATATAGGTATATAATGTAGTGGTAACCTGTTTATAAAATTATCTTATCTTGTATATAAAATTCTCATCTCAAAATGTTAATTATGCATATTCAGGTTGGTCTGAAAATCGACTTCTATTTTTCATACCCCTAAATGGATATGGATTGTCCACTACATTGTCCCTAACATTTTTCTTGATATTTTTTTTGTTTGTAATGTGGCATTAAAAATACATACAACCCTAAATTTTCACCCTTCTAGAATCAACCCCTATTTTTAATTGCGATTTTAATTTATATGGCATAACAACTTTGCGGGGTCAGTTTGTTTAACATCTAAAATTGCCATGCATTATTGTTATTTTTACTATCTAAACATTACGTAAGCAACTTATCTATCTTCGTTGTTTGGTGCTAATAAACCAAATATATTTTCGCGTTACAGTAATTGACTATAGTTTCTTTTTTAATTTCGGAGACAAAATTACAGGTGTAAATGTCAATTTTCAAATAATGTTACTAGCTGTAGTAGAGTAGTGCCTGCTGTATGGCAAGTTCAGTCTCTGAGGTTAAATAACTGACTATGGACATAACTTGTCTCTTACTGTTGAAGAAAGCGCGGGATAGGTTTAAATCTGACGGTTACGATATTTTTATAAATTTATAATATTATTTTGATATAAAATATATTATTTGTGTAAAAGAACCTCTATATGTAGGTCAGTTTTTTTTTTAATTTGTAACTATAATGGTTCTTCTGGAGGACTCGGGGACGGTCCCAGATTGTGGTTTACATGTAACTATTAGGCGCAATAATGATGATTCTATGTATACTTACTGTACCATTAATATAATTGATAATTCTGGTAAACGCTAACGTATATGTCATCAATGTGTGTAATCTGCATTGTAGCTAAAAAATGGAACTGTGGGGTGTAGGGAAAAATAGTAAAGATGTATTGAACCTTGTGAAATAAGTGAAGGGCGATTGCCTTCTTCTAATGTAATAAACTAGCAAGATGTATCACTTGGTCCACTATCTATTTTTAGTAGTATAAACTATCAGGCTCATTACGCTGCACCATATCTTATTCACATAAAAAAGACTTAATCCTCGACAGGTGATAAATCAACAATACTCGCAGTAGACTTCGGTCGATACTTTACTAATATTTTCTCAAATTTGTTATTAAGAGAAGCCTTAAAAAGTTTTTCACAAATTAATGAAGTGAATTCTTTAAAAGCCCTATTTGAATGGCCCATAATTACAAAGCTTTTGTTTCGTCATTTAATCTAACTATCCATCCGGCTCTAAAAAGGAAGGTATCCCTGGTTACTGGACTGATGAAAAAGTTATAGAAAATATTGCGGTTCCCATAGGTTGTGAAAACATATTATAGTTAGGCGTTTGAAGAAAAAATCTCTGATCAATATTAAATCTGAGGGCCAAGTATTGCCGAAACATGTTTTTATGTTCTTTAATTCCATACCTGTAGACATCGTCTTTGTTGTTGTTATGGTAACCTTAAAAATCTGTGCAGATCTGATCAACACCTTGTTGGTGCCCATTCTGGTGAATCCTGTTTAATACAGGTTGAAGAAGATTTTTTATTGTTCGTGTTCAAGGGCATCTTGACACATCAGACTAAACGGCTATCAAGGCGACAATGTATAAATGTTGTTAATCATTAAGCTACTAAAATAAACCTTCCGTTACTTTTGATATAAGGTGATCGTAGTGACGTTTGTTGTCACTACGATGTAATCCAGTACACATAAATACAGCAAATTGGGTTTAGTTTTCAACTTCAATAGAAAATAAAAGTAGCCCAATTTACTTCTTTGCCAATAAAAAGTCCCGTCGAAGATCCGAAGTCACGGATACAGCTAGTCAAAAATAAAGCTAAATTAAAAAAGGAGCTTAATTATAAACATTAATTTAAATTAATTCTCAATCTTTCTACAATAAAATTCGAACTTCGAAAATTCGACTTCGTCAGTAAAATTGGTGAACGACTAGCACGACATCCTTCTGGAAGTCGTGCCTTTTGGTCGCTTGCCAAAGCTGCCGAAGGTAACTTTAGTCAGTCGTCCTTACCACCACTACGGAAGCCGGATGATAACTTGGCAATCAGTGCAAAAGAGAAGGCCGATTTGTTGTGCGCTCTTTTTGCCTCAAATTCGACTTTGGACGCCGGGGACACCATACCTACTACCATCCCATGGTGTGGTAACTCTATGCCGGAAATATCCGTAACGCAACGGCGTGTCCGGCGAGAGTTACTGTCTCTTGACGTCCACAAGTCGAATGGGCCAGACGGCATACCGGCATTGGTGTTAAAGAAGTGTGCTCCGGAGTTGTGTCCCGTACTCACGCGCCTTTTCGCGCTTTCGTACTCCTCTGGGTAATTTCCGTCTTCATGGAAGACCACCCTTGTGCACCCTGTGCCAAAAAAGGGCGACAGATCAAACCCATCGAACTACAGGCCTATCGCTATCGCATCTCTACTCTCCAAGGTGATGGAGCGTGTAATTAACACACAGCTCCTGGGATACCTAGAGGATCACGATCTATTGAGCGATCGTCAATATGGCTTTCGCCATAATCGCTCAACTGGTGATCTTTTAGTGTATCTCACACACCGTTGGGCTCTTGCCATCGAGAGTAAAGGTGAGGCATTGGCAGTCAGCCTTGACATGGCGAAGGCATTCGATCGGGTTTGGCATCAAGGTCTTCTATCGAAATTGCCCTCGTACGGTATACCAGAGGGATTATGCAAATGGGTCGCTAGTTTTTTGTCTGGCAGATGCATCAAAACCGTAGTTGCTCCGATAGCATGGACATTAACGCTGGCGTCCCACAAGGCTCCGTTCTCTCCCCGACACTGTTATTGCTGCATATCAATGATTTGTTAACTACAGTTAACATTCATTGTTATGCGGATGACAGTACTGGGGACGCATTTTACACGGGCCGTGCTAATATCCCTCTTTCCGTTGTGGAGGCAAACCGCGAACAGCTTGTGTCTGAAATCGAGAGTACTCTTACCAGAGTCTCCGATTGGGGGCGACTGAACTTAGTTCAATTCAATCCTACCAAGACACAAGCCTGCGCGTTCACCGCTAAGAAAACCCCTTTTGCTGTGGCTCCGCAATTCCAGAACACGTCCATTACCATCTCTAAGAGTATTGGGATTCTCGGTATCGACATCTCTAGCACAGTTGAGTTCCGTAGTCACCTCGAAGAAAAGGTTAAGCTGGCATCCAAAAAACTCGGTGTGCTCAATAGAGCGAAGCGGTACTTCACTGCGGACCAGAGACTCCTCTTATACAAGTCTCAAGTTCGGACGCACATGGAGTACTGCTCTCATCTTTGGGCAGGAGCACCTGGATACCAGCTCGGTCCTTTTGACTCGGTTCAGAGACGTGCTATGAGAATTGTCGATGATCCCAATCTCTCTGACGGTATCGAGCCACTTAGTTTGAGGCGAGACTTCGCTTCGCTTTGTGTGTTCTACCGATTATACAACGGACTGTGTTCTGAGGAATTGTTCGACATGATGCCTACGGCCACCTTTTACCATAGCACCGCTCGCCATCGACAGGGAATTCATTCCCACACGCTGGAACCTAAGTGGTCTCGGACAGTGCGGTTTCAGAGGAGCTTCCTCCCGCGTACACTTAGATTGTGGAATGAACTTCCTGCCGAGGTTTTCTCACGAGACTACAGCTTGGGGTTTTTCAAGAAGGGTATATTAAGGTTTCTTAAGGGTCGGCAACGCGCACGTGACACCCCTGGTGCTTCAGGCGTCCATAGGCTACGGTAACCATTTACCATCAGATGGGCCGTATGCATGTTTGCCACCATAGTAGTATAAAAAAAAAAAAAAATAAAGTGCCCTATGTATTTATATGTGGCTTTTCCCTATATTTCTGACACTCGTTTTTGCCCATACTCGATTAGGGAATATTTATTATATATACAACATTTAAACACATCAGTATATATATATATATATATATATATATATATACAGTCAACCCTCCTATAACGCGGTGAGTGCGTACCGCGTTGTATGGAAACCGCGCTATAAGAAACTCGGATTTAACCATACAAACCAGGCTAATTCGTAGCGCGTTCTATGGAAACCGTCTACCGCGTTGTATGGAAACCGCGCTATAAGAGACTCAGAATAAGTACAAATCACATCATTCGTACCGCGTTATATGGAGACCAATAAATACAAAAGACAAGATAAATTATAAATTATTTTTATTGAATTGAAGAGTATGAACTATTCAATTCAATAAAAATAAGGAAATGATGAAAAAAATGAAACAAAAACTAAACTAAAAAACTGTTTTCCAACAAAAACAAAAGAAAGACTTTTGTAAAATGATGTAATCTTTCAACACTCATCCTCACTGTCAGATATGAGTCGCCTAACTCGCCTTCTTTTAATGGGCAAAATGTCTTCCTCACTTGGTTGATCTTCACATTGGTTTTAAGCGGCTAAGACATAAGCAGAACGTAGTTTTTCTATAGTTCACGCGACAATGTAGTCAAAAGATCACATATATATCTTTCATGTTACAGTTTCGTTAGACACACACACGCATGGCACGCTGTCGATGCGAAACTATTTAGTTAATAGAAGTGGAAGATAGCGCATGAGGAGCCCCACCCGTGAACCACGCTGATATAAACATATCCAGTTAAAACCATTCATTGGGTGCA